TTGTATGAGGTCAACCTTTTTGCTCACAGTTTGTGGACCCAGAAGTGTAAGATTGGGGTCCACAAATTGTGAGACAAAAAGGAGCCTCATACAACTAGCGTAAGTTGTATGAGACAGAAAATAAAACTTCTCACGGAAGAAACAAATGATTTCAATCTGTTTTTTTCCTTACTTGAGCAAGAAACAAAGGTCGTACGGAATATCAGAACAAAACCAAAAAGATTTGAAGGAGAGCTATCCTTTGAGATATTTATTTGGTAAACATTATCAATTTTAAGACTCTTGACTTATTGCACTTGATAGCCGGGCAAGCATGTTGCTGATAGAGACAAGTGAAGAAACCAACTGACTACTATAGGCAATTTCAAATGCTAACTACTTAAGATGATCTTTTGATAGTTAAACACAACTAATAGGAAGGAGGGTGTAGTTATACTTATCCCATTGAGCAGAATTTATAGTACTAACATAACTCTATCCTTTAAGGTATGTCACTAATAAATTGTTGAGAGGATGAATGCTGGTGAGGAGAGGAAAACATACTCCACCAGTATCCGATTGGAAAGAAATTTGACTGGGGCAAGTAAACTTTCTCAAACCTGTGGCACACCCTGTTAGTAATAGATTAAAAAAAGGAAAACGAAAAGGAAAAATCAGGGAATAGCAACAAAAATAAATTTCAAGATAATAAAATTTAATAATAGTAGTAAGTTGAGGAATGTCCAATCTTGCTATTCCTGCCTCTCGGCTGCTGTTATTACTAAGCTTTATAAGTATCCTTTTCAAAATAGACAAGGAGAACAAATTTTCGCATCACATGATGTGTTTCTTAAGGAGTGCAAAGATGATTATGCAGTTCTACCAGCAAAAAACATTATGGCAAAACTGTGGGAACACAGATGTAACAGGCCAAAATTTGGATTTTAAACGGCACTGATAGAAGAATCTGGCAGTCTAATGTCAGCTTGTTTAGTATCTTCACCTCCCTCCTCTTCCCCGGCCACACCCATTTCCACTTCCTCTTCCTCCACCACGACCGCCTTTTCTACCGTTAGCATAATGTTTTACTTGGTTGTATCTGATCTAAACACTTCCTAAAGCTAAAATCATCCACAGAATCATCCTCCCTAACAACAAAGAAGCAGCGACTTTAGAACTGTGGCTGAAATCGGATTTGGAAAGCGCGGACTCCTGTACGAATCTTCTTCTCTGGTTTTGAATGGCCCTTCTTAAGTAAGTCAAGTAGCGCCATGTGCTCGCTCATACTGCGACACCAAACCACAAAATGTAAGTGACCAAGATCATCATATCAAGCGCTCAGATGTAAGTAATAAATGTAACATCCAAATATCTCATAATGCTAAGATTTAGTTCCAAAATGGCAAAGCTGAATCGTAGTTCCAACAGAGATCCTTATGAAATCGACTTTCTTGTACAGTAACTAACTAATAACTCCCCTCTAACATTATGACTAATACAAATCATATACATTTCTGAGCAAGTATTTGGCGTCGATATCAGTACACAGATTATCATTCCGATTGCAATTAAATAATCCCAAAATGAGCAACATCTTCTTTATTAGGCCATACAAGGATTAACAAGATAATCAGAGGCACACAAATGATTATCCCAGTGACGTTAATATTCACAGGTAGTTGTTTGTTGTCAAACAAACATATCCTAAAAGGATGTACAATCAAATACCTCGAGATGTTAAAGCCTTTAGACTAAAGTCAGCTTTTAGAAGGTAAATTATTATTATTATAATACCTAAGCAATTCATATTAGTCAGCGGCCACTCGTAATGCATTCCTTGATGCTAAGAACAAGGAGCAATTTGACGTCGATATCTAATGACAATATAATGCAATTTGATGCTTAAACGAAATTTACATTCAGAATCTTAAATGTAAAAGATCCTAAAATGCCCCATATATCTGAAGTCCACTCAGCCATTACCGTAGATAATCAACTAAATTGGACAACATAAGAACAGGGTAAAATCCATCTATTGTTTTACACTGTACTAAAGACACAAAGCACCAGCTCATTTTGTGAAATATGCTGAATAAATGACATCTTTACAAATAGGATATTGACAAAAAAATGCATATTTTACCTTGTTGAGATTAACATTGAGAGTCCAGGAATAAAGGAGTTTGCAGGAATATGATTTCACAAGTTAATTATAAAATTTATGTACATTAGCAGAGTAAGAAAAAAAGAAAAGGTAAATTATTTTTTCCTATCTTAGAAGCCAGTTGAATTTGACTGATCAGTTGTGCATATTTACTATGTCAGAGTTATGCAATCCAGATATAGACAGGTGAAATGACGACCAACATCTCAGGAGCATACTTCTTCTTAGCGATGGGTAGTATTGCTGAGAACGGTAGAGCAAACACAAAACAGAAGTTGAAATTGTTAAAGGCATTCCTCAAATAAAACGATGGCCCTTCAGCACAATAGAAATGACTTTCACCGCCCTCTAAAACATTGTACACAAGCAAGCTGGTAACAAAGGATGTCCACCGCTTATAGTAGCAGCAGTCAACAAGAAGTGAGAGTACTTAGAACAATTTGTACAAGAAGTCGAGTCATTAGGCAGCACATATATGTGTTCCGGCGAGGGAAAAAAACATGCCAGCAGCACTAAAACGGGCAAAGCTAATAGGTTAAGTGGAATTTTGAAATTTCACAATTCCAGAAGGTGCAAGTCTCAGCATACCTAGATGAGCTGATTTCGAAGATTGTCCAGCTGCAACAAGGTAACTTACTGTTTAGATTTTTATTTCCAGAAAATGAGAAAGTCTTAGTATTGATAAAGAAGTTAAATCAGCAACGAGTAACCTGAATATTGATATAGTCCTCTGTGTCATATATATTCCTGCAACTGGATAAACACCAGTATCACTATTTAGTTCGAAATGAATTCATTATTTCGTTTTTATGCATCTTTAATGGCAACAAGTTCCTGCATGCTCTATGCACTTTCTTACTTTTATCAACTTGTTCATCGTGCTTTCAATTTGCACAAAGTAAGCCTGCAGTTTTTCAGCACATGTTTGTCGTGATTATTTCCAAAAGTTCAGATAATACATACAAACTTCAAGCAACATCTCAACTTCAAACGACTCATCTCCTCAAGTGAAACAGAAAACTTGACCCTTTCATTTGATAAAAGCAAATGCTCTTCATCCCCATCTACATATTTCACCTGCATTGGACACAAAACTTGTTTCATACACTTACCCATCAAAACCAACGCTGAACCTCCTTAAGATTCAGTAGATTTAAGACATCCCAAAATCCAAGAAATACAAAAGGAATAATAACAAAGCACATACTAGATGTATGCAAGTTTATAGAAAACAAATAAAGACAATAAGCCACTAATTACAAATGCAATTTTACCAAATAGCCACACACTGAGACCCTTAAAGAGAACAGATCTTGACGAATTTGATCAACTAGGAAATAAACTACTGATGATTTTTCAAAAGTCAA